CAGGGCTCGTAAGTTCATGCACTAAAAAATGTATAAATTAGCATGCATTCATGCACAAAAAATTGGTGAAATATGCATTGAAATATGCACTAAAAAATTCAGAAATATGCATATACATGCTCGAATATTTTTAAATTATGCATTTAAAATATGCATAATGTGAAAAAATCATAAGCAAATTTTGAAGTAATAAGATGTATTTATTAGTTAAAAATTGTTTAATTTATATACATTAGAAATTAATTTTTTACATTATCTACCACCAAATATATTACTTTAGTAATATATTACTTTATTACTTTATAAATACTTTAAAAATTACACTGTACAATTATTGTTTTTTTGATATTTTCCAACTTAAAAGATCGGCGATTGTCTGTCAGTAAGTTTTTAAGGATGGAAAAGGATCTTTCAACATCTGCTGAGGTAAGGGGTGCATATTTAAAGTACAATAAATCGTTTGCAGACATATCTTCAGGTAGATTTATTTGTTTAATATCGTTTTCTTTACCACTCAAAACTTCGGAAATTTTACAAATAACATTGTACCCAATATTTTTGTCTAAAACACTTTTTAATTTTTTTTGAATCTGAGTTGTATGGGGCCCTTCTAATTTCATAAAATTTTCCACTAATTCTTTGACTATTTTAAGCCCATCACTTAAAAGAATATTTTGTTCTTGAAGTCGTTTGATGGCTATTGGAAGGCAATCAAAGTTTGATTTTATGTAAATTAAGTTGGCCTGTAGTGATTCGACTTTAAAAACTTGTTTAGATTTTTTTACAGCCACAGCGTCATTTTCGTCAAATAATTCTACTATACGTTTTATGGTTTCAAAATGTGTACAGTAGTAGGACGCAGCAGTTAACCATGTACCCCAACGAGTAATAACAGGTGTTGGGGGTAATGGTATATCTGGTGCTTCGGCTTTAAATGTTTGTATCCGATATGGACATTTTCGAAATATTTTCTTAACGTTGGCAACTAAATCGTCTACATTTTCGAACTGTGATCGAATTTCTTCAGCTACACGGTGTAGACCATGCGCTAAACAAGTGAGATGAATCATTTTCGTGTAAAATGATTGTAAAGTATGAGCTGCCTTTGTCATGTATGGGGCGGCATCTGTTACAAATAAGAGAACATCGTCGTACTGTATTCCGTCTGGCCATAGTAACAACAAAGATTTGTCAAATGCTTTACAAATTGTACTATGATTTGCTTTTTCAAGTTCATCAATATTTAATAGAAATATTTCACTAGGAGAATCATATAAGAGTGTTCCAATTATTGTGCTGACTATATACCTCCCTTCAATGTCTGTGGTCTCGTCTAACGATATCCATATTTTTTTACCGTTTACTTTTTTTTTAATTTCGTTCACTGTATCACTGTAACATTGGTCAACATAACCTAATCGTAGGGTGGATTCTGCAGGGGTATCTTTTCCAGTATATTTTTCAAGAAAACATCTAAATTCTGGATTGGAAAGTTTGTTCAAAGGAATGTTGGCACCTAACATCGCTTTGCATAAATCGATGTTATATTCACTCTTTTTTGATATGGAAGGTTTGAAAAACTGTATTTTTGTATTTCTTTCTTTTCTTTGGTAACGTTGAACACCGCGTACATGCTTATCTGAAGCGATGTGTTGTGAAATACTAAAACGTTTTCCACTAGATACTTTAACTTCACATATTTTACAGATCAACACTTTGTTATCGGTTGAAAAAATATCTGCACCAAATTCCGATACAAAACGTTTCAAACGACTTGCAACAGTTTGTTTTTCTTTAGGCATTTTAAAATATTAATAAAATAGTAACGGACGGACGGACGAACGTAAACGACTCAACGGCAAGCGCAAGAAAACTAGGTACATTTAAGACTATACTATAGTATTATTATACCAGCTGTTATCAAATAGTTATGTAATGGTGTGGGTATTTAACAAATTCTATAATTAAATTATAGACGCCGGTGACAAGCATTGCACGCGTGTAAATGCCTCTACAGGTTTCGTTGCGATAATGGACAAATATAAATTGATAGATTTTCATAAGCGCGTTGTATGGCGGAAGATGGCGGTAACGATAACATTGTTTCCGTGGTACTGCGTAAAACCACTAACACCTATAAAACCTATATAGACGTACGAGAATGTAAATAAATTGAAACAAATACTAAATTTTGTAAATGGGATAGTAAAATAAGAAATAAAAAAGGATTCAAATATATTATTACTAATAATATATTTATTTTTTATGAAATAATATGCGCTAAGAACTCGAAAAATTCTACTATATGCCAAACATGCCATTACACTCAAATCATGCAAAAACATGCACTATTAAATTCTTTATTTTTATTACTATTCTTGT